ACGCACACTCGCCATCACTGTATCGAAAGGTCGAAACGACCAACAACGGGGATGCGCGTGGGCACGTCGTATGGGCGAGCGGGCACGGCGCGCCTGAAGACTGGGATGCGCACAGGGACAGCACGCCTCGGCACCGGGCGCATGGGAACGGCACGCATGGGCACAGGCCGCCTCGGCACGGCGGCGATGGGTGGGGGCATCGGCGGCGCGCTCAACACGCAAGTCACTGTCGGCGAGCGGCCCATGACCCAGCATGGCCTCGGCGGGACTCGGCCAAAGACACAAGGTAAATGGATGGAAGGGAAGGGTGGAGGGAAGGAAGAACGTTGGTGAGGGATGTGGTTGTGCATGTCGGTGTTTGTACACCTGCACTTGGGTCTCATGCGTTTGTGGTGCGTTTTCATCAACTCAAAGGCCCTGGCCGCATGGTGATGGACGAGTCTTACTTCCTTGGCGCTCTCAGGTGAGGGAGTGGTGTGTGTATGTTGTGATTGTGTGTATTGTGATTGTGATTGTGTTTGTGTGTTTGTGTGTTTGTTTGTGTGTGTGTGTGTGTGTGATGGATGTGTGTGTGTGATGGATGTGTGTTTTTATGACATGTCCTCTTCAAATGCTCGGTCAAACGTGGCGCATATCAACCACAACACACACACACACGCGCGCGCACACACACACACACACGACGTGTCCAGGGCCAAATCGACGGAGTTGACGGAGGAGATCAACAAGCTGCAGAAGGAGCTTGAGCAGCTGCAGCGGGACCACACGAGTTATACCACATACGAGAAGAAGGCCGAGGCGCTCGCCAAGGAGATACAGGCGCTCTCCGGCCAGCTCGCAGACCTCAACGCCCTCGCCAACAACCTCAACGACAACGTCGATATTGACGACGTGAGCGGGAGGCACCTGCTGTGCTGTTGTTGAAATGGCGCTGTGCTATTGGCGCGTGGTCTTTGACGCATGTACGAGCAGCAATAGGTGTCATTGCGGCGTTGTGTCAGTGTGGTGTAGTCACTCGATCTCTCTTAACTGTGTCGCACTACATGGACCTGCTTTCTTGCTTCCTTAATTGCATCAACCAAACCTATGACCACCACCACCACCACTGCTGCTGCTGCAGGTTCGTGCTGATGTGGATGAGATCCGTGCGCGAAACGACCGCGATGCAGCGGAGGTCGACAACATCTTCTCAGACAGAAACAGGTGCGGTGGCGGTGATGGTGATGGTGGTGTGCACATGAGTTGTGCACGTGTGTATGTGGGCTGTGTTGTGCCCTTGTGCTGTGTGCGCGCGCGTGCGTGTTGAGGCATGTGTCGTGCATGTGTGTTGTGTTGTGCACAACACAATACACACACACACGTGCACATATGTACGTGCATGCATGTGCGTACATGTGTGTGCCCCTCTATCCTGTGTTGAGGATCCCTCTCTCCGTCTCTCACGCGTTCCATCGACCTCGCATGTGCATCCATCCACCAGAGTTGAATCCCGCATCAAGGAGATTGAGGCGGAGATTGAGTCTGAAAAGCGCCGCACCGAAAACATCGTCACAGAGGTCCACAGATGTGCCATGATGGATGCCGTTGCCCCGACACACATGGTGTCAACTTGCACGCGCACGCGTTCCAAATGCTGTTCATGTCATCTCATCCACGCCTGTGTGCATGTGGTGTGTGTGGTGTGTGTGCATGTGTGTGCATGTGCATGTGTGTGTGTGCTGGTGTGTGTGTGTGTGTGTGTGCTGGTGTGTGTGTGTGTGTATGTGTGCAGATGGAGCCGGACCAGCGACGCGAGTACGATGCATTGCACGAGGAAGCGGAAACGCTACAAAAGGTGCGCAGTAGCAGTGGTGATTTGTACGGTCACACACGCACACTATCAAGTTGCGTATCGTGGCACTGAGCTCAAACAGCACAACTCCAGCTCATGCGACACACACACACACACACACACACACAACAACAACACACACACACACACGCATACACACACACGCGCACACACACGCACACACACACACACAACACAACGCACACACACACACACACAACACACAACACAACACAACACAACACAACGCACACACACGCACACACCGTCCACCACGGCTGCAGACGATTGAGACGCAGCAGTCGTCGCTGGACGAGTTGACGGCAGCGGCGGATGCACTGCAGCGCGAACTCGAGGCAAACCCGGTCAAGCGCGAAGCAGGTGCAGTCGTCGTCATCGTGGCGGTCTTGTTGGTTGGTGGTGGGGCGTGCGTTGTGTTGCAGGCGAAGAAGCACTTGTAGTACACCTTATTACAACCATCACCATTATCACCACCACTAACTCCCCCTCCCCTTTTGACCACCACCACCCTTCACCACCTTCACCACCACCACCACCACCGCCAATGCCTTGCCACCAGCCGCGTTGCTTGACCAGATTGCGGCGCTTCGGAGCAAGCACGCCAAGGTGAAGGAGCAAACGGAGAAGGAGGCGCTCCTGTCGCCAGAGAAGCTGAAGGAGCAGCTGCTGGCGCAGGTCAAGGCCGACAACCAGGAGATCAGCGGCATGGAGCGCAAGTCCGTTGCCCTCTTGCGATCATCGTGGTGGTGGTGATTGTGGTGAGGGATGAAAGGTGGTGGTGGTGGATTTGCTGTTTGCCGCATGCCAGTGACAACACCTTTTTCGTGCGTGTGCGCGCGTGCATCTGTACGCCAGGATTGCGAATGTGCAGCAGCGGATCAACGAGATCAGCTCGGACGTGGCCGATCTCGACGCCGCCGAGGACGAGGAGGACGGTTCGTTAGGGGTGGGGGGCATGTGGTGCAGTGTGTGGTGTGGTGTGGTGCAGCGTGGTGCAGCGTGGTGTAGTGTGTGGTGTGGTGTGTGGTGTGGTGTGGTGCAGTGTGGTGTAGTGAGTGGTGTGGTGTGTGGTGTAGTGTGTGGTGTGGTGTATGTTGTCATCGTTGTTGCACGTCGACCTGTTACAGATGCACCACCGTCCACGTGACGCATGCAACAACGGTGCTCATTCTGAGGTCCACGATGCACACCTCCTGCTGGTGTGCATATGTGCGCGTATGTATGCGTGCGTGTGCAGATGAGAAGCGGCAGAAGTATCTGCAGCTCGTCAAACACGAGCAGGAGATGGACACGTTCCTGCTGTCCTTCGACTCAACCTACGATGAGGTCCGTGACCGCCACCACCACCTTTGTTGTCAGCCATGCGTGAACATGGCACCGAAGACTTGCGGGGCAGTGAGTGTTGTTGAAGGGAAGCAACCCCACCATCACCACCAACACCACCACCGCATACAAGCGTGTCGTGCCTTGCACCTTCACACACACAAGCAGAAGCATGTGCACGCAATAACACAACCTTACAACAATCCAACACACACACACACACGCACACACACACACACACGCACACACACACACACACACACACACACACACACACACACACACACACACACACACACACACACACACACGGGCATGCACATACCCTGATTCTGACGTGTGTCAACCTCCCTCCTTTCCCCGAAGCCGAAGCCGGGCCCGTTCTGATGGGGATGCGCCTGCCGCTCGCGGGCGTGTGTTCGTCTGTTCGTCTGCACTGTCCGAGTGCGGTTGATGTTGATTTCAACTTGCGTGCTGTTTTGCTTCGCAACGCAGATAAATGGGTTTACTCACAACGAAGCGTCAATCAAACACAGACACACATACAGGCAGAAACACAACAACACACACAGACACAGACACAAACACACTCATACACGACAAAAAGCACAATCCTTTTCCTGGTGTTGATTACTTTGGGCCCAATTTCTTCTTTGTCTTCTTCTTCTTCTTCTTTGGCGTGTCCTGTGCTGTCTTGCTCCTCTTCGCCGCGTTATCATCACCACCATCCCCATCGCTATCGGTGTGTTGCCTCTTCTCTGCTGCTGCTGCCTTTTTCTTCGGCGTCTTTGTCTTCTTCCCTGCCGGCGTGGCTGCTGCTGATTTGCTCTGTGTCTTCTTCGTCTTCCCCTGCTTTGCTGGTGTGTCTGCCTCCTTCTTCACCTTCTTTGCTGGCTTGCCTTTGCTCTGTGCCGATACGGCTGCCGGCTTGGTGGAGAGGGACGCTGTTGCGTGGATGGTGGCCGAGTGCTCAAACTTGGGGCGCTCTGGGATGGGCGGCAGCACCGGTGTGAGCACGTCCAGCGGCGCCGACAGCGACACCTGCCCGCTGAAGTCGTGGCTCAGCTTCAGCTTGTTGCGCTTCACACTCGGCAGCAGCGGGTGGAACTGGCTCGAGCTGTCGCCTGTCTCGCCCTGCGTGTTGTCAGGTGTGCGTGTTGTGATGTGTGGTGTGTGGGCGTTTGTGTTCGTGTCAGCGTGTCAGTATGCGTGGGCGTGTTGTGATGCGTGTGTGTTGTGATGAGTGTGTGCGTGTGTGATGAGTGTGTGATGAGTGTGTGTGTGTATGTGCAAGTGTGCAAGCGTGTCAGTGTGCGTTGCCATGGCAAGAAGATGTGCAAAGACCCGAGCAAGCACACAAGCCCACGCATCAAAGTCCCTCCCATAATCCACGCAACCGGCAAGCTTGTGCACTCACAGCCGGCGTGACGGAGACGGCGTACTTTTGCTTGCGAATCTATCACATGTGTGTGTGTGTGCGTTGGGGGAGGAGGACCAGTCAAGAATGATAGTGTATCAAGCCCCACATACATGTCAGTCAAACTGCCACATGCAATCACGCGAAACACAGCACGAACGCAGAAGCCGGAGACCCAGCTCACTCACCATGACATTGGAGTTTCCAGGGTTGAGGTTGATGCTGACGCCATTCAAATCGGATGCCTTCAGCTGCAGTGAAGCAGGCACGAACGACAGAAGCATCACAGGGCGAGGAAGACACGAGATACCAGCGTGAGGGACATTGTGTTGTTGGGGAACAAACCACACCCGACATGCACGCAATGTGGTGAAGACGGCCAATCACACTGCATGTATACTCAACGAAGCAAGGTACCCACGGGACCACACACAGGGATAGTATCATGCACAATCCCCCCCACACACCCGAACAACATGATGCGAACATCCACACACGTAAACAAACAACATCATGCACACACACTCACGCACACTCACGCACACACACATTCACACACACACACACACACACGCAATGGCACACACCGTCTTTGGGAGCCGAACGAGCCAGAGCTGGTCGCCTGTGCCAATGTCGTCATGTTTGAGGGCCGCATATCTGACATGATCCTTGAACGGGGTCACGTCAAACCCTTGCTTCTTCGCCTTGCTCTTGGGTACAGACATTGTCGTGCCTGCGCCTGCTGCTTCGTTTGCTTCGGGTGTCTGCGCTTGTGCTGATATCCACGTGATTTGTGTCGCTTGTCGCTTCTGCCTTCTTCTCGCCTGCGAAAGAAATTTTGCTATGCCGCTGGGCCGCCATCACTTTTATATAAGCAATTTCTGCCATATGAAACATCAAGAGTTGTTTCCGTGGTGTAGTTGGCTATCACATCAGTCTAACACACTGAAGGTCTCCGGTTCGAGCCCGGACGGAAACACACTCGATCCATTTTTTGCGGTGCGCCTTGTTGGGGACTGTTTTTTTTTTTTTCTGCTTGCGTCTCTCGGGTCGTTTTGAAGTCTGGAAAATCCAACCGCCGTAATCAGCAAAATGCGTTTCCGTGGTGTAGTTGGCTATCACATCAGTCTAACACACTGAAGGTCTCCGGTTCGAGCCCGGACGGAAACACACCTTCATTTTTTTTACATTAGTCCATCACACACAGTGCACGCCGCTGCGTTTGCTTTGCTTCTTGTCTGTTACAGCAGCAAAGAGCATTCACATCAAGCCAGCAAGCGAGCAAAAGCAAGCACACAGACACCCACCCCCACACAAAGCGCAGGGATGGCGGCGTTTGACCGTGAGTTTACCCCCCTCCTCTGCTTCCCTTTTTTCCCTTGAACGCGCGTTGGGTGCGCTGCTGCCGTGCTGTCTTCTCTTTCCGTGGTTGACTTACTCCCTCCCCCGACCGCACCCCATGCACATGCGAACAAATGAGCAACAGGGTTTGGCATGATGCCGGAAATCATGGAGGCGACGCAGCACCTCGGCTGGGAGTAAGATGTGGCTGGCGCTGCTCGGGGGCGCTTGCAGCGTTCGCATGTGTGTCAGTGATGATACGGCATTGTTGCCCCTCGCGCTCACCACAGCTGTTGCTTGCTGCTGCATACACACGCAGGCTTCCCACAGACATTCAAGCCGAGGCCGTGCCTCTCATCTTGGGCGGTGGTGACGTGCTCATGGTACGCATTGTGTGTGTGTGCGTGCGCATGAGGGTGTGTGTGTGTGTGTATGTGTGTGTGTGTGTGTGTGTGTGTATGTGTGTGTGTGTGCGTATGTGTGCGTATGTGTGCGTATGTGCGTGTGCGTGTGTGTGTGTGTTTGTGAATGGAAACGAACAACAGACGTTCGTGGCGTGTTGGCTCACTGTGTATGTGTTGTGGCGTTTGCTTATTGCCTTGTTTTTCTCGCAGGCGGCCGAGACAGGCAGCGGCAAGACTGGCGTTAGTTCTGTGTTAAGGGCCATGTTGTCTTAGCGACAGTCCTGCATGCACTTGCGCACGTCATTGCCTCACTCTCCTTGCTGATGAACTACATTCGCCGCCAACGTTGACACAGGCGAACTTGTGAGCCGAGGAGCCAGACAGACAGACAGACACACACACACACACACACACTCACAAAAACACTCACACTGATGGGGTTGTTCCGGCTCCCCAACATGTAGGCCTTCTGCATGCCTGTGATTCAGATTGTTGCGGAGACACTGAGGGCTGGCACGCGCACGAGCACGGCCGCCGCCACCGCTGCGCCGCGTCGTGCCGGTCGCATGAGCGTGGCCACGCGCGAGGCGAACTTCGCTGTCAGCGCCGACGGCCTGCTGTGCCAGAGCCGCGCCGAGTTCCAGTGGCAGGGCGGCCGGGGCGAACTCGCAGCCACAAAAGGTGCAGTTGTGTGCGTGTGTGCGTCGTGTGGGTGTGTACGTGTGTGTGTAATGTGTATGTATGTGTGCGTGTGTGCGTCGTGTGTGTGTGTGTGCGTCGTGTGTGCGTCGTGTGTGCGTCGTGTGTGTG